CCCCCCCATTTCCCAGTGCTCCTTGTGACTGATTTGCCATTGATCCCGATTTTTTTCACCAGATCCTGATTTTTTAACTCTGAAATCCTGATTTTTAGATTTCATAGAGTGGCAGGTCTGTGTTTGTTGTAGGACAGCAATTTAATTTTCATTTACTCTTTTTTCTCCATCTATTTTCCTTCCAGGGAGTTTGAAATACCGTGGGAAGTCTCGAGTTCTGGTTTAGCGTCATCGAGTCGACAAAGGAGTAATAGCTCACATTCCAGACGCCATTAATATATTGTTCATCATCTGAGTACTGTACGATATCATCAGCATTTCTCGTTGGTTGTAAATTAATTCTGATCTTTTCCAAGCTGATTGTGAAAGGATGGTTTCTGCATTAAGTGGCTGTTTGTATTTGAAGTAAGTGAATTATGAATAATTGTTACCATTCTTAATGTTCTTAAATATGCTATATCCTAATAAACTTGTGTAGACTTCTAGAATATTTATGGTTATAAAAAAAGCTTTTACCAATGGAATTTAAGATCCGCCTCTGAAATGACAATCTTAACTGATAAACAAAATAAAAAAAGGAGGATGATGACTTCAGTTCTGAATGAACCTTTTAAAAAGGTATTTTGTTTATTTTTCTTGCTCAAGTTAACAATTTTGCCAATTTAAATTTGGAATACTGGTTGTGGCAAGCAGAACAATATTTTAAGTTTCGGGGATTTATATTTCATCTTTGTTCAGGTTCCCCTGATCATAGCACATACATGTTTAAGTTGTTCAACGATGGTAAAAGGTACCTTGGTTGTACTGTTATTTTGTCATTTTATTGTACAAAAAAAATGACAAGAAAATTCTGAATATACCTCTAGTAAACTTTGCTGTTTTTATTGATTGATTATCTTCATAAAGGTTGAAATAGGTTTGGTTGTCTACTGTAACATCTAGCTCATGCTAAAGAGTCGATGTCACAAGAAATCCACTTAATTCCTTGTAGGTACTTGTTCCTATTAGGAATCATGAAAAATATGAAAATCGTAAGCCTTGACCATAGCATCAAACTGGACTTTGGTTATGTGCAAAGGTGCGTCTTTGATACAGCATTGGTAGAATGTAAAAAAAAATTCTGAAAATTTGGACTTACATGGATTGTTTGCGACAGCGATGATATACAGTGTTGCAATGGATAATACTTAGCCTACCATCTTTGAGTCAAGTCAGACAAAGAAAAAATGTACAAAGTGAAAAAACAAGCAGCAGTTCTAGCTTTGAAGTGCTGTTTGTTTGCCTTCTTTTCATGAGATAGTCGGGTCCTTATTGATGTTAGGTCTCTCACTCTGTAACACATATTTTGTTTAGTGATCAATGTCTTAATAATAAAATGAGAGTCAAGGTACACTAAATTAAAAGTGACGTCCTCACCTCTGCGGGACTCAGGAATTGGGACTCTTCTTTTTTTTGTTACGAAGTTCTTCCTGACTGGTCATTCAGGATGATCTTTTATGTCTGATCTGTGCTGATGCTGGGCATTTGAACATTTTATTAATGTTTGCCACAAAATTTATTGTGGCAAAGAATATCTTATGCCTTTAAGAATGAATAACATGTAAATGATGTTTAAGGGTGAAAAAAAACCGCTACTGCTAAGTCAAATAGAGGTAAAAAAACAGGGATTGTAGCAGTGTAGACCGTTGAATATTATGTTTTAAAAATCTTTTAAGTTTAAGCTTTGCTTTAAAGTGAAGTAGATTGTACAGTGGAACTCGGATTCAACGAGCTCGGATTCAACGAGATGAGATAGATTCCCCGTTTTTTTTCTTCTTTAAAATCAATAAAAATAAACCGGATTCAACGAGCACTTAAATTGGCGAGCTCGGATTCCACGAGGTCGCTTCCAGGGCGAACAGCCCCCCGCAGACGTGGCTTTGCTAATTTTTCTCCCAGAACGAACTTTATCTATTCCCGGATTCCCGGAGACCATCCATTGCACCTGCATCATGAACCATTATTCACTTAGCTGATTGCAAACGACCAATCAGCGGCCTTTTTTCATACCAACACATGCATTGTTGACACGCGCAGGTGTCTACTCTGGCGTGTGTCGGGGTCAGATGGGCGGCCTGCATGCGTGTCGGGGAGGGGGGGCAATAGCGGTCCCGGCGTTGAACGCCGCAGATACAAACGCGCCAGTCTTTTTTCCCCCTCAGCAACTGATCATTATTACAATTATAAGCTAGTCTTGATGTAGGTCTAGATAATGAATTTTGCGCTGGTCTATGTAATCAAAAGTTGTCGTATGCTAGGCTTTACACCGGAACACAACTTTTTGGTAAACAATCGAGATGACACAGGCGTGCATTTGAACGAATCAGTCTTTTTTTTTTTACACAGCTCATAATATGCAGGCATTTCAGGCACTACTTATGACTTCTTTTTATACATTACTTGCTCAGTAATTATCTACACAAAACCTCATGTTTGCTTTAACGAACACTCGGATTCAACGAGATTTTAGGTCTGGCCCGGCGACCCCGTTGAATCCGAGTTCCACTGTAATGGTCTTCTTGATACAATTACAATCTTTTTTGTTTTTTTGTTTCTTTGTCCTGTTGGGGAGAGTATAAAAATAAATACATTTATGATTCATTTTAACTATTGAGGAGATTTACTTCCTGTGTTTGAACAAATTCACGAATGGGGGTTTGATTAACGTTGCCTTTATTCACTGCGAATGTAAAAAGATGAAATATTTAATGCCGTCTTTGAGGCTGTGTAAGCCAGTAAGCAAAAATCTTGCTGAGACATTATCAGTATATCTATGTCAGGCAAAATATGATGCAAACGATACTGCCATCCCTATCCGTCTGCCTTTCACTTTCAGATGTGAAATGGCCAATAAGATTTTGACAACCCATGCTGCTTTTCTTACACATGTTTTAGGATGGAAGTGAATCTACAGCAAAATCAGTTGTGCACAAACATGTGTCCTGTTGCAACTATTGAAGTGGAAGAGGCAATCAATCATGTGTTTATTGGAGTACAATATTTTATGACAAACAAACTGGTTTTTCTCCCAATTTTGTTAGGGGAAAGGAAATGAAAAAATATCATTGTATTATTAATTTACAATGTTATATATAATCATTTTACACAGTCTGCTGTACATTGCCTGTAATGATCCCAAGATTTTAAGTCAAATAAAAGATTAGGATGTACTATACATGCATGTTACCTCAGAATGAAGATTTTTTAGGGTAACGTTTTGCAATTTTGTTGTTGTTGCTGATGTGAGGATTTGATTCTGTACTTCTGATCTTGTTTAAATATGTTGGCTTGTAGTGTGTCTGTGCTTGTACATTTAGTGCAGTGTATTTTCTGGTTTTCTTCTTTCATATAAGTGTTATTGTACATATTGTCTTTAAAACTGACAAAGCAAATTTCTTGTTGTTTTTGACAGGGCTTTTGTTTGAGCTGATATTTAGTGACACATTTTTTTGCTTTATTGATGGTTTAAGTGTGCTAAAGAAAGATACAAATGTATAGGGATAACATTGAATGCTGAAGAAAAAAATCTTGCTCGTTTTATGTCTGCTTGAACACAACATCATTTGATTTCAAAAGTTCAAATTTTGATTTCCTGAAGTTTGGGAAACGTACAAGCGTGTCATTATGGACAGGATACATACTTAATGAATTGTTTGAGTCCCAATTTTTAGGTTCATTTTGCTGAAACGGGTTAAATACAAAAAGCAGTGTCTGGCCTGTGGCTGAAGTAATTGCCAGAGTTTGAATAATGTCAATGTTTATGCATACTTTTTTTTTTTCAAATTCAGCCTGTCATTGATGAACGGCCTATCAGGGAATCGCAGTCTTTATTTTTGTGAAATGTGGTATTATGAAATTTAGATGGTTACATGCCATTGACATCTGCTTTAGTGGATCGTTTTGTTTGTGTGTCTGGTAGTGTACCATTTTTCCTGTTTACTTGTGGACATTAACATAGAGCCTGCTTTTTCTTTCTTTTGTTTTGTGAAGGGGGATCCCTCCATTGTTTCCTAAATATGATGGAGAAGGCAACGCTAAAACTCACCATAATAATACTGGTTAGGTCGCATAGTTGTATTGAGAAGCCAACACATCTGTGTCACCATTTTGTTGTTTCTTGATTCTTATACAAAATGTCATCAATTCCTTTAAAATAATGTTAGCTTTTGAAAAAGCTCTTGTTTGGAAATAGAGTAAAAGTCAAAATGTGCAAGATATTGTTTGAGGATGTTCAAATCCTATCTGCATTTCCTTGCTATGTGTGAGTTGTTTTCCCAAGATGTGTTAGTGAGGGCATTTAGGTGTCCTTCAGCATTAGTTAAAGATTAGAAAGCTGCCCTCTTCATTTTTTTTGCATTTGTTTTTAAATAAAGAAAGATACATTGTCATCCTTTATGGCTGGACAGCCTCTTCTTGGACCAAACTCTGTGACTTTCTCGCACAAAGATTTCACTTTTGTCATCTTTGGTGATGAAGATAATGGGGTAATTTTCTCTGTCCATATGATTCATTTCAGTTGGAGCCAAAATCTTGCTCCAAAGTCTTATTTGTTTTTTGTAGTATTTTCAAAAACATTTTCATCAGGATTTTGGTGATCAAGGAGAGTTTTGTGGTCCTCAACTCTTTGTCGTTTATTGTGAGGTTAAAAAGTCCAATTACCCACTGTGTAGCAAATTTCAATTTATACTTCCAAAGGTTTAGATTCATAGATTGTGTTCAAAGGACTTGTATCCTGTCTTTTTTTCTTGTCCTACTCCTAGATGTTCAAAAGTTTTTCTTTGATCAGGAGCATCTATTTTTCTGTATATTTCAGAGGCCACATTATCCTTGCAGATAATTTTTTAATTTAAATTTTATTTTCTTAAGATTCTTACGAAAATTGCGGGCACAAAATTTCAGTGTTATGACAAGGAAAATGATAAACTTTAAACTTTCATTTTCTTCCATGGTAATTCACTTCACAATTGATTACCGAATCATATTCCACAGTAAGGAATTGTGCTTGAAACTATATTCTAATCTTATTCTATTCCTGTCAAGTGGTAGTTATGCATTTAAAAAAAAAAAATGAAGTAGAAACTCAGGAAGTGATGGAATGTGAATGCTATGAAGTTCATACTTTTATAACTTGATACCAAGGATCAATGTGGAGTATTCAGTCTTTGATTTGATTTGGTATTACTAGATGTGACTTTGAAGAAAATTATTTGAATGTTGCGAAGTTCACTTTGTCTTGCTTTTGCATACATTTGTACTACAATAATAACATGGAATAAAGTAAGTGGGATCTGTGTGCCTAACTCAATACACTACTCTGTATGTAGCATGATTTTGCTTGTCCCTCAAACAACTGATGTTACATGTATAGATGCTGTGCTGCCATGTTTTATCTACAACGGCTCTTCCATTTACTGTTTGTCACATATGAGACAGGTGCTAAGAAGCAGTGGTTGGCTATAGTTTGTCAAAAATGCTCAGTCTTTGATGTGAATGGGCTCATGAGATGCCACAATGTTACAGATTTTTCTATTTCTCTGAAATTTTGCTTGGTCCTTTCATACTTTGAATGCACTCTGTGTTTATTTCATTTTACTGAACTTGTCTTGCTTTTGAACTTCTTATTGCTTTTCACGTGTGCTTTAATACATCCATCAAGGTAATGTATGATGTAAGGAGTTGTACTACATTTTACATTGAAAAATATTAGATGAATAAATTCATTTTCCTCTCACATTTTGTTGTCAATGTCTCAAGAAAAATGCTGAGCTCTTGAGATATGGGGACTGTCATTTTTCTTGTGACAGTGATGATATGATATCATGTGTCACGACATGGTGGAATCAGTCGCTCGTCAATTTTTGGGCGTATGGAGCTATGGGAATCATCTTAAAACATGTTTATTTGTCTTGCTTTCAGTAAAAAAATCTTACCATCTATCTTTAATAGAAGTCGAGATATTTGCAACTGACAAGGTCAGGGTCACCTGGTTTCAGAGTTAAAAATAGAGAGAAAATGGCCGCCAAAATTTGATGAATTCCTTAGCTGGAGAGCCCTGTGAAACTGAAATTTAAATGTGTTTCGCCTTTAATCAACGTTTTTCAGTAAAATCCACACACGAACATATTTTTAAATGAACATAAAAGATGTTTAGCCAAAAAAAAAATTTCATTCAGATTGCCAAACACACGGCAAATCGCCTGTTTTTTCATGTTCATTACTTTGACGAACACCTGATTTTACCACGCTGCCTCACATATGTGCCATTTCTATCGTTTGAATTCTGATACTCTCCTCTCACCATGGGCTGAAACAAGGGCAACACTCCTTTGGGGCTTTTTATTTTTAACATATTGTACCTTTCTGTACCGATACCTCTGAAACTGATAGTGAACTTTAAAAAATCAGTGAGATATTATGAGGTGTTTGCTCTCATCCTAAGCACATTTACATTACGGACCATACTATACACTGCCATAAGCCTACAGGCTGCATGTACATATTAAGCACTTCACATCTCCTGTCTACTCATAGAATAGCACAATAGCTTACCTAACGTCTGTAATGTTTATTGGTTAAGGAT